GCCGCCGCAGAGGCCCCCCCCTTTTCCCCTCACGGCGCTCTTCCCCCCCCCCCCCAACCGTACCCTCATGCGGAGCTCGTAGCTGGTGTATCGGGCCCTCCCGACGCCCACGGTCTGCGGGTTGAAGATGTCGATCTCCAGGAAGTTGCTGGGCGGCCCGTAGGCGTCGGTCAGGTCCTGCGGCTTGGAGTTGAGGCGCCGTGTGTCGGCCACCGCCGCCTCGGACATGGCGGGCGAGAGGGAGAAGGGAGAGGGGGGGGAACGCGCTCGCTCAGAGCCGCCTCAGCGGAACCCGCCCTGCCCGCCGCCGCCGCCGCCGCCGCCGGGGAAGTGGGAGCGCCTTCGCCTCCTCAGCAGCGCCGCCGCCGCAATACATGGCGCCGCCCCGGAACCTGGGCGGAGAAGCTCGGCGTCGCTTCCGCCCTGCATAACGCCAGCCGGCATCCAGGGTCCCGGGCGACGCCGGAGCCCCGCAACGCGCATGAGAGAGAAGGAAAAGACGCCCCCTCCCACCGGCCTTGCCTGGGCGGTGCTCGAGGGGAGCGAATGATTATCCATGGCGCGGGGACCGAAGGCTCCGCCTGCCCTGGAACCTGTGTGGCGCCATGCTGTCCCGCCCGCCGGCTGCATAAGGGGAAGGAGGCATCCATGGTCCCGGGCTGGAAGCCGCGTCTCCTTGAACGGGGCCCTGCCCGGGGTCTTGCATAAATATTTTTTTTGTGGGGGGGGCTAATTTATGGTGGAGGGCGCAGCGCTGACCCTTTCTCTCGCTCTCTCTCTCTCTCTCTCTAGGACCGGAGGGGGGGGAGGAAGAAGGGCCTCCTGTTGCAGCAGGAATGGGGAGGTGGGTGGAAGCCTGTTTACTCAGGAGGAGACCCCACCAGTCAGTTGTGCATTGGGGGGTGGGGTGGAGAAAGGAAGCCAGAAAGGGCGTGTGCAGCAGGGGAAGGGTTTGCATGCTCCCCCCCCCCATCTCAGTCCTGCTGTTATAATTATGTATTTCAAGTTAATGCAATTATATGCTGCTCCTGCAGCAGCACGCACAGAGACGGGGCAAATGCCAAGGGATGTGCATCCTGAAATCTAGGAAACAGTGACTAAGAACAATCATGCGGAACACAGGAAAGGCAACACAAATAACAGATTCTGAAATGAGGTCCCCACAACACCAGGACCATGTAAGAAATGTTGCTCTTAGGCAGCATTGAAATCTTACATTTAAGCCATAGGAACCCAAAGGTTTGTGGAAGATCAGGTTCTTACACATACAGTAGGTCCCGAAAGAACATGGCATTGGGGTTCACTTAACAAACCTGATGGTCCACTGCATGTCCTAGACACCAGTTCTGAGTGACATCTAGTAACACTGGCCCAGAACTTAGAAAACTATTTTTAAAAGGTAATAAGTTACACTTACAACCCTCCCTGCAACTAGCTAGCAACAAATTGTAGCAACAGCTTTATAACAACAATGGTTTGCTTTTCTGTTTCACAAATGTAATTCAAATAATTTAATACTGGCACTGTTCTCTGTCCATCTTATTTTGTTTTCAAACGCCAGACAGCACATGAGGTGGCGGGTGGCAGCCGTCCGCCCTTGAACTACAGAACGCTTTCCCTCCGGTGTTTAGTTGAAGCCACATTCCTCGTAATTACAAAATTTAAAAGCTAAACCATGAAAGGATCAAATTTGTTGCTCATTAAGGTAAACAAGTTACATCTTTCTTATTGGTAAACAGGAATTACTTATTCAGTAATAAGTATTGCTCTGGATAGAAGGCACAGTTAAATAAATTTGATTCATACTGGCTAGTTTCTCGTCTTTCACTAAACATGTAAAATTGGAATGTGACTTAGATTTAAGGAAGCAGCTACTGAAGAAGGATGAATACTGGGTTTTCCCCCTTCCCTGCACTATCAATACACAGAAAAGATGATAAAAAAGCTGCAAAGCTGGCTACCTTCAGGAGAGGGCAGCATCTCTGAAAACTAAAACAAGGAAGGTGGAACTAAATTTCCAGGACAAAGCTTTGATTGATTTGCTTAAGCAACACTTTAATAGATTATTTAGCTATAATATGTAGAAACTGTTCTATAGCAAATCTCAAAAGTAGTTGTGGCCTTTTCTGTGTCTGTTGCTAAAATATATAATATAATAATTTCAGAACTGGAATAGACCTTATGGATCATCAGCTTCAGACTCTGTCAAGGAGGCCCAGTGGGGAATCGAACTTCCATACCTATGCCCTATAGAAGGATGTGAAATGAGAATAAAGAAATTCACAAGGAGCACAAATAGATGTGACATGAAACAAATGACTTCAGGGGATGTCGTGATGGCTTTTAAAAATGGTCAATAGCTGCAGAGATGACAGGTTGGAAGAGAGTTAATCATCTCTTCTGTGGTCACTGTGTCAGCAAAAATCCTTCCTTTGTCCCAGGATTGGGACCTCTGGAAGGTTGCTTCCTGGGACAGACGTTATTTAAGCTGGAAGGACTGCAGTAGAAGAGGGAAAGGGTGTTAGTCCTCTGTTTCAGTTGTTGGGGAACAACAAGGCGAGAGAACCATACAGGAGAAAGAATAAATACAGAGCCTTAGCCAAATTGTGTTGCTTTAAGATTATTTCCTTCCAGTGGTGAGCAACACTGTCTCTCTGACATTGTGGAAGCATTCATTCCCAGACTCTGTCGGGCCTTGGAACTAAGCGTGCGTATTTTGAATTATGATCAAAAGCAAACAACCCAGCTGTTTAAGCACCAGCATATTATGCTTTTCCCAGCCCCTGGACCCAACTCATATCCTGCCAGTTGTTTTCTGGGCAACAGTACAGTTTTGGGGCAGTCTCCAAAGGCAGCCCAATATAAAATGCATGGTAGCAGTCTAATGCAGAGGATGCCAGTCCTCTCTAGCCAGGACGTGCCACTATCTCAGGAGGGAAAAGGTGCTCGGTTCCTCTCTAAAGGACCTTTTGTACAAGTTCCAAACCATATGGCTGTGTAGGGCTACTCTTCTCTTTCCAAAACACTTTCCCTTTGCAAACATGATCCTGCATGCGAATGTGTGTAGATTTAATCGCGTAATCGACCCATTAGCCTGGAGAGGGAAACAATAAATAAATTAACACATTCAGACATGGTGCTGCTAATCCTTAATAGAATCCAGCAGCAACGAGGGGGTGAAGAGAACACCCTGGCCGTCGTAGACGGAGGGCGTGGCGGCCGCTGAATGGAACAGCCGGCTTGCTACGCGGCGGGTTTGTTTTGGAGGAAGCGGATTGGTTGTCGGGTTTATGTAATGCTCGGACGACGAGGCCAAAAAAGAAGGCCGGGAAAGCCGCCGCGAAGCTTTCTGGGAGATGTAGGATTTCGAGGGCGCCCATTGCCGCGCCGCCTCCAACTTTTCCCGGAGAAGTCCCGCCTTCCGCTTCGCCTGCCGGGAAACCGAGTCCCTCCTCTTGCTCTCCCTGGGGGTGTAATCCCAGGGAGGAACTACGTTTCCCAAAGTGCACCGGGCGAGCAAGCGCAGTGGCCCTCCCTCT